ATTGGAGGCCCAGCTGGTCCACTTCTGATCCAGCTCCCTGCTAATGTGCCTGGGAAAACAGTGGAGGATGGCCCAAGTGCTTGGGACCCTGCACCACTTGGGAGACCTGGAGGAGGCTCCAAGCTCCCAGCTTCAGCATGGTACAGCCCCAGGCACTGTGGCCATTTGGGGAGTGAACCAGCAGATGGAGGATCTCTTTCTCTCTACCCTTCTGTCTCTGTAACTCTGCCTTTCAAATAAATCATAAATAAATTTTTTAAAAATTAAAATAAAACAACCAAAGGATCTAGCAATTCAACCTTTGGATGGGACTCAGATCCAAAAGAACTGAAACACTGAAGAGGTATCTGCATACTCATGTTCACTACAAGACTATTCACAGCAGCCAAGACATGAAATCAGCCTAAAAATTAATCAACAGATGAATGGATAAAGGAAATGTGGCTTATACAAATAATGGAATATTATTCAGCCTTAGAAAAGGAAATCCTGTCGCATGTTACAACATGGAGGAAGCTTAAGGACACCATGGTAAGTGAAATAAGCTGGTCAAGAAAAGGTAATTTTATAATTCCACATAATTGAGATATAGTTTAACTTTTACTTATTTTTGTTTATTTGAAAGAGACAGAGAGAGAGACCTTCAATCTGCTGGTTTAATTCCCAAATGCCTTATTCCTTTAATTATCATCTGCTGCCTCCTTTAGTGCCTAGCAGGAATCTGGATCAGAAGCAGAGGCAAGACTGTAACCCATGCACTCTGACATGGGATGTATAAAACAGTCTTAATCTGCTATACCAAATGCCCACCTCCAAGGTATCTTTTTTTTTTTTAATGATTTTTTTTTTTCATCTTACTTGAAAGGCAGAGAGAAAGAGAGGTATCTTCCATCCACTGGATACTGCCCAAACATCCAAAACAGCCAAGGCTGGGCCAGGCTGAAGCCAGAAGCCAGGAACTCCATCAGGTCTCCCATATGGATGGCAGGAATCCAAGTACTTGAGTCATTATCTGCTGCCTCCCAGGGGTGCACAATAGAAGCAATGTGAATAGGAAGCATAGTCATGACTCACTCAGGCATTCCAATAAGGGAAGCAGGCATCCAAAACAGAGACTTAACCCACTGTATCACAACACCTGCCTCAAGTTATGTTTTATTTATATATATATATTATATATATATATATATTCATTTATATAAAGGTAGAGAGACAGAAAAAGATCTTCCATCTGCTGGTACACTCGCCAAATGCCCACAATAACCAGGGTTGGAAGAGTCAAATCCAGGAGCCCAGACCTCAACTTGGGTCTCCCATGTGGGTGGCAGGAACCCATCATCTACTGCTTCCAAGGGTATGCATGAGGAGGAAGTTAGAACAAACACAGAATAGCCAGGACTCAAACCAGGCACTCCGATGTGGTTTGCAGGCATTCCAAGTGGCAACTTACCTACTATACCAACTTCACCTTCAAAGGTATTTAAAATAATCTCAGAAATGGAAGTAAAATGGCAGCTGCCAGTGGCTGTAAGGACAGGGAAATGGAAAGTTGTTCAACAGATACGTGGTCATGTAAGATGAAAAAGTTCAAGAGATCTCTTTACAACAATGTGCATATATATGGTTAGCTATACTATAAATATTTACTTAAAATTAGTGGGTGGCGTTGCTGTGGCATAGCGTGTAAAGACACCGCCTGCAGTGCTGGCATCCCATAAGGGCGCCAGTTTAAGTTCCAGCTGCTCCTCTTCCAATCCAGCTCTCTGCTATGGCCTGGGAAAGCAGCAGAAGATGGCCCAAGTGCTTGGGCTCCTGCACCCGCATAGGAGACCTGGAGGAAGCTCATGCTTCTGGCTTCGGATCAGCACAGTTCAGGCCATTGCAGCCAATTGGGGAGTGAACCAGCAGATGGAAGACCCCACCACCACCACCAATCTCTGTGCCTCTCTGTTTAACTCTTTCAAATAAATAAATAAATCTTTAAAAAAAATTAGTAGGAGGGTAAATTTGTCTTTCTTACCACATAAAAATAAGATGCACAATCGATGTAAATATAAATAAGAAAATGATTCTACAAAATGATTGTATTTATATAATTTCAGGAAAATAGGATATATCCATACCATAAACTGTAAGCGCAAATTAAAACCATGAGATGCCACTACACACACAGCAGTTTGACCAAAACCAAAATGACTAACACCAAGTGTTGGGGGGTCTGTAGGTGATTACAACTCTCATACATTGTTAGTGGGAATATAAAAGGACACCACTTCAGAAAACCCTTTGGAAAATCATTTGGCTGTTTCTTATTAAACTAAACAGATACCTAATCTATAACTCAGATGTTTCACTACCAGGTATTTACTTAAGAGGAATGAATACAGATATTCAAAAAAAGTCCTACAAAACCAATACTATAGTACCTTTATTCAAAATAGCCAAATCTAGAAACAAAGTACTCATCAACAGAAAAATAAACTGTGATGTAGTCACTACTCAGCAATAAAAGATGAAAGCATTATGCTAAATGAAAGAAACCATATGCAAAAGATTACTACTAATGGATTACATTTACATAAAATTCTAGAAAAAAAAGTGACATATCCATACCATAGAATACTACTCAACAATAAAAAGGAATGAACATTGAGATATAGAATGCTGAATAATAAAGACTTAAGTGAGAAAGTATTATATAATTCTATTCATGTGAAACCTATCTACGGTGAAAAAAGAAATCAAAATTATGATTACCACTGAGTTACCTTGCAAGCAGGAATTAATTGAGAAAGGTTATGAGGGAACTCTCTGGTAATAATGATAATGTTCTGTATTTTGACAGCGTATGCATTTGTCAAAACTTGGCAAAAGTATACTTAAAATCTGCACATTTCACCATATATAAACGTTGCCTCAAATTAAAAACTTTCAAACTTGTTATTTTCAAAAGAAAAACTGTATAAACAAATACAGAATTCCAGTTTATGCTAAGCATGCTGAAGTATTTAAAGGGAAAGAATCCTGATGCCTGCAACTGAAAGTGAATCCAAAGTTACAATGAATTAATTGACAGAAGAATGGATAAACAGATAAATATGTGACAAAGCCAGTAAAATGTTAATATACTGGGGCCAGCGCTGTGGCATAGTAGGCTAAGCCTCTGCCTGCAGTGCCGGCATCCCATATGGACACTAGTACAGTGCCAGTTGCTCCTCTTCCAATCCAGCTCTCTGCTAACGACCTAGGAAAGTAGTGAAAGCTGGCCAAGTGCTTGGGATCCTGTACCCACATGTGAGACCTGAAAGAAAGTCCTAGCTCCCGGCTTCCGATCCGTCCAGCTCCAACTGTTGCAGCCAATTTGGAGAGTGAACCAACAGATGGAAGAATTTTCTCTCTTTCTCTCTCTCTAATTCAGCCTCTCAAATAAATAATTTTTTTAAAAATATAGTAATATATTAATTGGTATATATACATACATATATATGAGTACTCACTGTAAAATTCTTTCAACTTTGCTAATATTCTTGAAATTTTCCACAATATCTTAGAATAATATCCATGGAAGATACTTAAAGCAGTGATTATAGGAAAATTCATAGCCCTACACACTTTTATCAATAGAAACTAAGCATAAATAAATTCCCAGATCAAAAGACTAGAAAAATAATAAAGTAAACCAAATGAAAATATTAAACAGGAAACACTGTGGCACAGGAGTTAAGTTGCCACTTGTGACGCCAGCATCCCACATCAGAGTGCAGGTTTGAGTCCTGGCTACTCTACTTCCAATCTAGCTTCCTAATAATGTGCCTGGGAAGATAGCAGAAAATGGCCCAAGTGCTTAGGCCCCTGCCACTCATGTAGGAGACCCAGATGGAGTTCTTGGCTCCTGGTTTCCACCTGGCCTAACCTGGCTATTGTGGTCATTTGGGGAGTAAACCAAAGGATGGAAGATTCATTCATTCTCTCTCTCCTCCCTTCCCCCTCTGTCTCTCTAACTCTGCCTTTCAAATTAAAAAAATAAATCTTTAAAGAAAATTTAATTAAAAAAAAAAAAGAAACTGCTTAAAATGTTGGTGGTCTCATATCAGGGTACCTGGGTTCAATACCTGGCTACAGGTTCTGACTCCAGTTTTCTGCTAATGCAGACCCTGGGAGGCAGTAGTGATGGTTCAGGTAACTGGATTTCTGCCATCCACATGGGAGATTTGGAGTGAGTTGCCAGCACCTGGCTTCAGCCCAGCCCAGTCATAATCATCGTGCGTATTTAAGGTAAAAACCAGAGGATGGAAGCATGCTCTCTCACTCTCATCCTCTTGATGTCTTGTTCTAGCTCTCTCTCTGTCTCTCAAGTAATTAAAAAATACTTTTTTTAAAGGGCAGGTAATGTGGTACAGCAGGTTAAGCCACAACTTAGGACGCCTGCATCCTATATCAAAAAGCCAGTTCAAGTCATACCTTCTCTGACTTTCTAATCCAGCTTCTGCTATGACATCTGCAAGGCAGGGGATGACGGTCCAAGTACTTACGTTCTGGTCACCCTCAGAGAAAATCCAGAGGGAGTTCCTGGCTTGTGGCTTAGACCTAGCCTAGTCCTGCCTATTTGCAGTCCTCTGGGTAGTACGCCAATGTATCTCTCCTTCTCTCTGTCACTCTGCCTTTCAAATAAATTAATAAATAATTTTTTTAAAAGTTGAGGAAAAAAAAACTTTACGGATCAGATCTTCCGAACTGTCCACAGATACCAAGCATTTTAGGAATCAAGGATAACACTGATGGCTAAAGTTCATAAAGATACTACAAAAGCAAAAATGGCAAATATTACATATGAATATCAGGATAAAAGTGTTACGTTTAAAAAGCAGTGAACAGAATCTGACAATACATTAAGGAAAAAAATACACCGAGATCAACTGAAATTTATTTTTTTTAAGATTTATTTTATTTGAAAGTCATAGTAACACAGAGAGAGGAGAGGCAGAGAGACAGAGAGAGAGAGAGAGGTCTTCCATCCACTGGAAGTGAACTGGGTTCACTCCCCAGTTGACCACAAGGACCGGAGCTGAGCCGATCCAAAGCCAGGAGCCAGGACCTTCTTCCCGGTCTCCCACGCGGTTCAGGGGCCTAAGGATTTGGGCCATCTTCTATTGCTTTCCCAGGCCATAGCAGAGAGCTGGATTAGAAGTGGAGCAGCCAGGACTTGAACCGGCGCCTATATGGGATGCCAGTGCTTCAGGCCAGGGCTTTAACCCACTGCACCACAGTGCCGTGAAATTTATTCTTAAGTGCAAAATTAGTTCCTTACTAGCAAAGGATAAAATCTTGATTCTCCACAGACGATGAAAATACTTTTGGCAAAAATCGATATGTGTTCCAGAAAAAATACATGTAAAATGATGGACTCTCTCCTACAATAATAACTTTATTTAACTATACATATATATATGTATGTATGTATGTATATATATATATATATATATACACACACACACACACCCCAACACACTTCAGTCCTACAGCCAGCTTATTTCTTAGTGGGAAAACTTTTTCTTTTTCTTTTTTTTTTTTTTTCATTTTCAATTGTCTTTATATACAGAAGATCAGTTTAGCATATATTAAGATTTCAACAGTTTGCACCCACATAGAAACAAAAAGTGAAAAATACTGTTTGAGTACTAGTTATAGCATTAAATCACAACGTACAGCACATTAAGGACAGAGATCCTACATGAGGAGTAAGTGCACAGTGACTCCTGTTGTTGACTTAACAAATTGACACTCTCATTTATGGCATCAGTAATCACCCTAGGCTCTTGTCATGAGTTGCCAAGGCTGTGGAAGCTTTTTGAGTTCAACGACTCTGATCATATTTAGACAAGGTCGTAGTCAAAGTGGAAGTTCTCTCCTCCCTTCAGAGAAAGGTACCTCCTTCTTTGATGACCTGTTCTTTCCACTGGCATCTCACTCACGGAGATCTTTCATTTAGGTTTTATTTTTTTTTTTTTTTGGACAGAGTGTCTTGGCTTTCCATGCCTGAAATACTCTCATGGGCTTTTCAGCTGGATCCGCATGCCTTAAGGGCTGATTCTGAGGCCAGAGTGCTGTTTAGAACATCTGCCATTCTATGGGTCTGCTGTGTATCTCACTTCCCATGTTGGATCATTCTCTCCCTTTTTTCTTCTATCAGCTAGTATTTGCAGACACTATTCTTGTTTATGTGATCCCTTTGGTTCTTAGTCCTATCATTATGATCAATTGTGAACAGAAATTGATCACTGGGACTAGTGAGATGGCATTGATACATGACACCTTGATGGGATTGAATTGGAATCGCCTGGTAAGTTTCTGTACTTCAAAAGAAACAGTCAGGAAAGTGAAGAGGCAACCCACAGAATGGGAAAAAATATTTGCAAACTATGCAACAGATAAAGGGTTGATAACCAGAATCTACAAAGAAATCAAGAAACTCCACAACATCAAAACAAACAACCCACTTCAGAGATGGGCCAAGGACCTCAATAGACATTTTTCAAAAGAGGAAATCCAAATGGCCAACAGACACATGAAAAAATGTTCAAGATCACTAGCAATCAGGGAAATGCAAATCCAAACCACAATGAGGTTCCACCTCACCCCAGTTAGAAGGGCATTCAGAAATCTACCAACAATAGATGCTGGAGAGGATGTGGGGAAAAAGGGACACTAACCCACTGTTGGTGGGAATGCAAACTGGTTAAGCCACTATGGAAGTCAGTCTGGAGATTCCTCAGAAACCTGAATATAACCCTACCAAACAACCCAGCCATCCCACTCCTTGGAATTTACCCAAAGCAAATGAAACTGGCAAACAAAAAAGCTGTCTGCACATTAATGTTTATTGCAGCTCAATTCACAATAGCTAAGACCTGGAACCAACCCAAATGCCCATCAACAGTAGACTGGATAAAGAAATCATGGGACATGTACTCTATAGAATACTATACAGCAGTCAAAAACCATGAAACCCAGGCATTTGCAACAAGATGGAGGAATTTGGAAAACATCATGCTAAGTAAATTTGTCCCAAAGGGACAAATATCATATGTTCTCCCTGATCGGCAACAACTAACTGAGCACCAAAGGGGAAACTTGTTGAAGTGAAATGGACACTATGAGAAACAGTGACTTGATCAGCTCTTGTCCTGACAGTTGATGTACAATGTAATACTTGATCCATTTTAGTATTTTTTTTTGTTCTAGTACTATTGGTTGAACTCTGTAATTAACACACAATTATTCTTAGGTGTTTAAATTTTAACTGAAAAGTGATCCCTTTTAGGAATTTGGAAAACATTATGCTGAGTGAAATAAGCCAGTCCCAAAGGGACAAATACCACTTGTTCTCCCTGATCAGTGACAACTGACTGAGCACCAAAAAGGAAACCTGTTAAAGTGAAATGAACACTATGAGAAACGATGACTTGATCAGCCCTTGCCCTGACTGATGATGAACAAGTTAATACGTTATCCCTCTTAATATTTTTTTTGTTTGTTCTACTTAATACTTTTGGTTGAATACTGTAATCAATACACAGTTATTCTTAGGTGTTGAAACTTAACTGAAAAGTGATCGCTGTTAAATATAAGAGTGGGAATAAGAGAGGGAAGAGATGTGCAATTCGGGACATGCTCAAGCTGACTTGCTCCAAACGGTAGAGTTAGAAACATACCAGGGCATTTTCTTTTTTTAATACTTTTTATTTATTTGAAAGGCAATATTACAGAGAGAGAGAGAGAGAAAGCTATCTTCCATCTATTGGTTTATTCCCCAAATGGCCACAATGGCTGGAGCTAGGCCATGCCAAAGCCAGGAGCCAGGAGCTTCATCTGAGTCTCTTATGTGGGTGCAGGGGCCCAAACATTTGGGCAGACTCTGCTTTCCCAGGCACATCAGCAGGGAGCTATACTGGAAGTGGAGCAGCTGGGACTAGTACAAGTGTCCACATGGATGCTGGCCTTGTAGGCAGTGGATTAATCCACTGTACCACAAGGCTGGCCCCAGTAAAGGCATTTTCAATAAAATCAGACAGAGATGTATAATATCTCCACTGCTATTCCACACTGTACTTCAGGTAAAACCCAGTGAAATTAGACAAAAGAAAGTAAATGGAAAAATAAGAATTGGAAAGAAAGTGAAACCATTCCTATTTGCAGATACTATGATAAATGCCAGAGAATCAATGATAAATCTTATTCAACTGGGGCTGCATTGTGGCATAGCAGGTAAAGCTGCTGCTGTAATGCTGGCATCCCATCTGGGTGGTGGTTCATGTCCCAGCTACTCTACTGCCGATCCAGCTCCTTGTTAATGCACCTGGGAAAAGCAGTGAAAGATGGTCCAAGTGTTTGGGTCCCTCCCACATGGCAGACCTGGATTAACCTCCTGACTCCTGGCTTCAAATTGGTCTAGCACTGTCTGTGGTGGCCATTTGGGGAGTAAACCAGCAGATGAAAGATCTGTCTCTCCCTCTGACTCTGAAAATAAAAAAAACTTTAAAGAAAAAAAGTTAATAATGAAGCAAGACATAAAAGTAACAGAGTTCTATAGATTTCCACAATCAGAAAAAAAAGTATTTATTAATAGTTATAATAATATTAATTAAAATAATATCTATAAAAAACAAATATTTTGGCTGGCGCCGCGGCTCACTAGGCTAATCCTCCTCCTAGCGGCGCCGGCACACCGGGTTCTAGTCCCGGTAGGGGCGCCGGATTCTGTCCCGGTTGCCCCTCTTCCAGGCCAGCCCTCTGCTGTGGCCAGGGAGTGCAGTGGAGGATGGCCCAGGTGCTTGGGCCCTGCACCCCATGGGAGACCAGGAAAAGCACCTGGCTCCTGGCTCCTGCCATCGGATCAGCGCGGTGCGCCGGCCGCAGCGCGCCGGCCGCGGCGGCCATTGGAGGGTGAACCAACGGCAAAAGGAAGACCTTTCTCTCTGTCTCTCTCTCTCTCACTGTCCACTCTGCCTGTCAAAAAAAAAAAAAAAAAACACAAATATTTTGAAATAAACTTAGCAGGAAATGAACAAAACTATGTATCAGGAAAACTTCAAAATATTCATGAATCAAAAAAAAAAAAAAACCAATACACTAAAACATATGAAAAACCACCCCTTGGATATTCAGTAGAAAAATTCAACACAAAGACATCAGTTCTACATTTATAAATTTGATAAGAATCCCAATGAAACACCACCAAGCTTTTTGAACAGACCCAGACAAGCTAATATTAAAGTTTACATGAAAAGAAAAAAATATATATTTATGGTTGGGCTTTTGGCATAGCAATTAAGATATCACTTGAGAAGAAGCCCATAACCATATTAGAGTGCCTAGTTTGAGTTCTGGCTCCTTTGTTTCTCATCCAGCTGATTGCTAATGCACACTTTGGGAGGTGGCAGGTAACAGACAAGTAGTTGAGTCCCTGCCACCACCTGTGGGGAAACCTAAATGGAGTGCTTGGCTCTCAGTTTTGGCATCTAGCCCAAATGCTGCTCTAGGCATCTGGGAAGTGAACCAGCAGATGGGAGATCTTTCTATCTGTCTCTCTCTTTCTGCATTTCAAATAAATAAAATAAATAAATTTCATAAAAAGAAAATACAAAACCAGTTCATATTAAAAGAATAGCCAAGAAAACATTGAAAAAAGAAAAGGAGCTAAGAAGGAACAGGGAAGACTACCTCTACCCAACAATAAAACACACCATAAAGTCCCTATAATTGTAAATGTAGTACTGGCACATGAAAAGACAGCAAATCACTAGAATAGATATAAAGTTAAGAAAAAGCCTCAAGAATTTACAGAAAGTTAATATATTATAAAAGGAGCATCATAAATCAGTAGGGCAATTATGGACTTTTTAATAAATGATGAATTAACTGAAAAAAGAAAAAAGAACTATGCCTCATACTACACACAAGAATAAATATAAAAATGTAAAGGATCTAAATGAAGATGAAGTAATTATACCAGAAAAAAAAAATCAGTAAACTCTATGTCTGGATGTAAGACTTTATGTCTTAAATGCACAGAATGAAAGAAAAAAATGATAAACTTGACCACATCAAAGAAAAAAGTTTTGCACAGCCAACAAATAGCATAAACAAAATCAAAGGACAATTGAAAAACTATGAGAAAATATATGCCATTCGTAACAGCTAAAGGGCTAATATCTCTAGTAAATTACTCTTCAAAATTGAAGGAAAGAAAGACCAAAACCCAGAAGACATGAATAGAAAATTCACACATAATGAAGACAGAAGTACATGCCATTGAGGGCTGGCATTATGGTACAGTGGGTTAAATTGCTGCTTGCGATGCTTACAGCACCAACATCCTGCTATGAGTGCTGGTTAGAGTCCAGGTGCTCTGCTCTTGATCTACTTTCCTGTTAATGCACCTGGGAAGGCAGAGGAAGACAGTCCAAGTACTTTGGTACCTGTCACCCACATGGGACAACAGGATGGAGTTCTTGGCACCTGGCTTGGGCCTGGCCCAATTCCAACTGTTGTAGCCATTTGGAAAGCGCATCAGAGAATAGAAGATCTCTCACTTGCTCTCTGTCCCTTTCTCTCCCTCTGTTGCTCTTTCAAATAAATTACAAAAATTTTTTAAACAAATAAAAAGATCATTAAACATATGAAAAATGGTCAATGTTATTCACAGTAAAATAAATGAAAATTAAAACTACACCAAAGTAACATTTCTCATCTATCAATAGAACAAAACATTCTGTTGATGGCACTGAAGGGAAATAGGACACTCAGAATTACTGATAGAAATATAGTAATTTCTAACAAAACCATATATTTCTCTTTTAATCTACCAGTCTTACTTACAGGAGTTCCCTCTGAAGGCACATCTTAACAGTAAAAACCTCACATATATGTGTATATTCATGGCAGTTTGTTAGTAACTGTAAAATATTGGTTGTACCTTTATTATTCATACCTAGAAGAGTGGCAAACAAAATATAATAGAACTACACAATGCAGCTATTAAAAAATGTTAAGAGTCCAGAGATGTGGTACAGCAGTTCAGCTACCATTTTTTGCAATGCTAGCATCCCATATAGTAGTGCTGGTTCAAGACTTACACTACTTCTAATCCAGTTCCCTGTGAATGTGCCTGGAAAAACAGTCAACGATAGCTCAAGTACTTGGACCCCTGCCACCTACAAGGAAGACCTGGATAGGGTTCCAGAGTTCCAAGCTTATCCCAGCACTGCCCAGCATGGGCAACTGGGGTGTGAACCAGTGGATGAAACATCTTTCTCTTTCTCTCTCTGTCACTCTCAAATAAACAGATAAATCATTTGTTAAAAAAGTAAGGTCTTAATAAATTGATATGGAGTAACTTAGAAGATATCTTTGCAAAATGTAAACATTAACCACAGAAATAAAAAGAATCATCAGGAGTTACTACAAAGAGCTGTATGTCAACAAATTGAGAAACCTAGAAGAAATGAATAGATTCCTAGACACATAAAATCTATCAAAATTGAGTCATGAAGACATAGAAAATCTAAACAGATCAATAACCATGATGGAAACTGAATCAATCATAAAGGCCTTACCAATAAAAAAAGCCAAGTACAGAAACGCCTCACTGCTGAATTCTATCAGACACTTAAAGAAGAAATAATTCCAATTCTTCTCAAGCTATTCCAAACAATTGAAAAGGAGGGAATTCTTCCAAACTCATTCTATGAAGCCTGTATCACCTTAATTCCTAAACCAGAAAAAGAAACAACAGAGAGAACTATAAACCAATTTCCTTGATGAACGTTGATGTAAAAATCCTCAACAAAATATTAGCTAATCGAATCCAACAATACATCAGAAAGATCATTCACCCAGACCAAGTGGAATTTATCCCTGGTATGCAGGGATGATTCAACATTCACAAATCAATAAATGTGATACATCATATTAAAAAAATAAACAAAAAAATATGGTTATCTCAACTGATGCAGAGAAATTATTTGATATAATATCCTTCATTGATGAAAACCTTAAGCAAATTGGGTAGAGAAGGAACATTCCTCAACACAATCAAGGCAATTTATGACAAATTCAACATGCTACTGAATGGGGAAAACCTAGAAGCATTCCTCTTAAGATCTAGAACCATACAAGGATGCCCACTCGAGAGTGGCATTGTTATTTAGTATAATCTTGGAAGTTTTAGCCAGAACCATTAGTCAAGAAAAAGAATCAAAGGAATACAAATCGGAAATGAGGAAATCAAACTACCCCTATTTGCAGATGTCAGGATTCTATACATAGCGGATCCAAAAGACTCCACAGAGAGACTATTAAAATTCATAAAAGAAAGTCATAAAGTGGCAGGATATAAAATTAACAAAGAAAATCAACAGCCCTTGTACATGCAGACAATGCCATGGCTGAGAGAGAACTTTTAAGATCAGTTCCATTTACCATGTTTCCGAAAGGAATTAAATATCTCGGAATAAATTTAATCAAGAAAGTCAAATATCTCAATGATGAAAATTACAAAACACTCAAAAAAGAAATAGAAGACATTAAAAAATGTTAAAATCTACCATGTTCATGGATTGGAAGAATCAATAGCATCAAAATGTCCATACTACCAAAAGCAATTTACAGATTCAATGTGATCCCAATTTAACTATCAATGACTTTTTTTTTGCAGCTCTAGAAAAAAAGATCCTAAAATTCATATGGAAACACAGAAGACCCTGAAAAGAAAAAAGCAATCTTATACAACAAAAACAAAGCCAGAGGCATCACAATACCAGATTTCAAGACATACTACAGGGCAGTTATAATCAAAACAGTCCAGACCTGGCAGAAAAACTGACTTGTAGACCAATGGAACAGAACAGAAACTCCAGAAATCAATCCATGCATCTACAACCAACTTATCATTGACAACAGAGTGAAAATCAATCCCTGGAACAAGGAGTCTCTTCAACAAATGGTGCTGGGAAAACTGGATCTCCACATGTATAAGTATGAAACTAGACCCCCACCTTCTACCTTATACAAAAATCAACTCAAAATGGATCAAAGACTTAAATCTATGACCTGATACCATCAAATTACTAGAGAACATTGGGGAAACTCTGTAAGACATTGGCATAGACAAAGACTTATCGGAAAAGACCCAGTAAGAAGCCAAAATTGACAAATGGGATTATACCAAGCTGAGAAGCTTCTGCATTGCAAAATAAACATTAAACAATGTGAAGAGGAGAAAACATTTGCAAACTATTTAACTGATAAAGCGTTAACATGTATAATCTATAAAGAGCTCAAGACACTTGAGAAAATGCTCAGGATCACAGGCCATCAGAGAAATGCAAATCAAAAACTACAATGAGGTTTCACCTCATTCCAGTTAGAATGGCTCTCATACAGAAATCAGCAAACAACAAATGCTGGTGAGGATGTGGGGAAAAGGGTACCCTAATCCACTGTTGGTGGGAATGTAATCTGGTGCAGCCACTGAGGAAAGCAGTATGGAGGTACCTCAGAAAGCTGAATACAGACCTACCATATGATCCAGCCATCCCACTCGTGGGAATTTACCCAAACCAAAAAAATCAGCATATGAAAAGAGTTATATGTACCCCCATGTTCATTGCAGCACAATTCACAATAGGTAAGATACAGAATTAACCTAGATGTCCATCAACCAGTGACTGGATAAAGAAATTATGGTATTATACACCATGGAATACTACACAGCTGTAAAAAAAAAAAAAAAAAAGAAAGAAAAAAAAAATCCTGTATGTTGCAACAAGATGGATGCAACTGGAAACCACTATACTTAGCGAAAAAAGCCAGCCCCAAAAAGGTATCATGTTTTCCCTGATCTGAGGTAACTAACAGAGTATCTAAAATGTAATGTATTGGAGTGAAATGTATTCTGAGATTCAATGATTGTTTACAGCCCTTGTCTCTTCCCTTGAGGAACAGTGTTTCTTTCTTCATACTATTTACTGAACTCTTTTACTTATTGTAGGGTTAATTTTATGATCACTGGGGTCAGCGTTGTGGCACAGCGGCTTAACACCCTGGCCTGAAGCGCCGGCATCCCACGTGCGCGCCAGTTCAAGACCCGGCTGCTCCACTTCCGATCCAGCTCTCTGTTATGGCCTGGAAAAGCAGTAGAGGATGGCCCCCAAGTCCTTCGGCCCCTGCACCCACATGGGAGACCTGGAAGAAGCTCCTGGCTCCTAGCTTTGGATTGGTGCAGCTCCAGCTGTTGTGGCCAATTAGGGAGTGAACCATCAGATGGAGGACCTCTCTCTCTCTCTCTTTTTCTCTCTCTCTCTCTCTGCCTCTCCCCTCTCTGTGCAACTCTGACTTTCAATAAATAAACACATCTTTAAAAAAAAAAAAGTTTACCATCATTAAGTAAACTGAAAATAGGTCTTTGTAAAAATTAAGAGTGGGAATGGGGCCGGCAACGCAGCTCACTAGGCTAATCCTCTGCCTTGCGGCGCCGGCACATCGAGTTCTAGTCCCGGTCAGGGAGCCAGATTCTGTCCCGGTTGCCCCTCTTCCAGGCCAGCTCTCTGCTGTGGCCAGGGAGTGCAGTGGAGGATGGCCCAGGTCCTTGGGCCCTGCACCCCATGGGAGACCAGGAGAAGTACCTGGCTCCTGCCATCGGATCAGCGCGGTGCTCCGGCCACAGCGCGCCAGCCATGGCGGCCATTGGAGGGTGAACCAACGGCAAAGGAAGACCTTTCTCTCTGTCTCTCTCTCTCACTGTCGGCTCTGCCTGTCAAGAAAAAAAAAAAAAAAAGAGTGGGAATGGAAGAGGGAAGAGGAAGGGTTGAAGCGTAGGCAGAAGGAAGAATAGGGTAGGAAGTATCATTATGTTCCTAAATCTGTATATATGAAATACATGGGGGCCGGCACTGTGGCACAGTGGATTAAGGATCCAGCCTACAGTTTCAGTATCCTATATGGGTGCCAGTTCAAGTCCCACTTGCTCCACTTCTGATCCAGCTCCCTGCTAATCCACATGGGAAAGCAGTGGAGGATGGTCCAGGTACTTGGGCCCCTGCAGCCATGTGGAAGACCTCAAGGAAGCTCCTGGTTCCTGGCTTCAGTGCGGCCATTTGGGAATGAACGAGCAGATGGAAGATTTCTCTGTCTCTACCTTTTCTCTATAACTCTGTCTTTCAGCAGATAGATTTCTCTGTGTGTGTGTCTCTAGCTCATGAATAAAATAAATCTTTTAAAAAAATACATGAAACTTATATAACAAAATTTTAAAAAAGATATATTCGTATACAAAAAAAAGTAAAATGTAATAGAGTATCTATGGAATGCCTCAAGTATAATTACTCATTTAAAAAAAAAAAAGAAATGCAGAAAGTTTAAACTAGTAACTAACAAGATTGGTTACATCAAATACATCAAAGGGTAGACAGGAAGAGGTCAGAAGAGGGAGTGGGGAGCAGAATTGTGACACTGAACAAGTTACTGCCTACAGTGCTGGCATCTCATATGGGCACCAACTCAACTCCCAGCTGCTCCACTTCCTACCCAGCTCACTGTTAATGTGCCTAGGAAAGCAGTGGCCCAAGTACTTGGGCCCCTATACCCACATGGGAGACCTGGAAGAATCTTCAGGCTCATGGCTTCAGTTTGGTCCAGCCCTGGCCATTGCAGCCATTTGGGGAATGAAACAGCCAATGAACGATCTCTCTCTCTCTCTCTAGAGAGAAGAGGGAGTGATACTTTTCTAAGTATACCGTTTGGTAAAGTCATGTCTTTTGGAACCATATTAATTTTTTACATACTAAAATAAACAGGAAAAGTACAATAATTTAAAGGAACTAACTCGAAATGAAATATAAAAAGAAACAAATGAGATCAAATCTTTCAAAATGAAGAAATTAACCATACTGAAAGAACCAGTCCGGGTTCAGATGCAGAACTAGACACCTTCAGGGTACCGATCATAAGAATGGGAAGAAACTTTGAATTTACTTTCTAAGTGAGATTTTCACCACCATATATTAGCATTTCTGAAACTACTTTCTGTATATTCCATAACTGATCAATGTAGAGATCCAACTTGATATGATTACAGTCAGGTTGGACATACCGTTATTCTGCCATTCAGGTAACCCTGACAGTCATCCCAAAGCCTATGGGATAAACAAACTCATTAAGGCAACTCATGTGGCTTATCTGACATCTGAAATATCTCTTATCTGACACGTGTGATGTTAATATTCCTGACAAAGTCCAGGTATAAGCCTGTTAGCCACAGGCCACCTCTAACTACAAAACCATTTTTCTCTTGCCTAGTGGCTAGGGATCCATCGGTCTGGTGTCCACTCAAAACAATGCCTCTGTCCTTAAGTCTCTAATAAAATCTGTGTAATCCTGGATTTCTTCATCTCTTTCTTCATTCCCATAGCACTTTCCACCTTTAGCAGGCCAAGTCTCCTCTACCAGGTTTAGCCAAAATAAGCAAGTAAATATACTGTATATAATAAGGGTAACTTTCTCACCAATGAAGAAGAAAGTGATAAGATACATGTCACAACTAGCACATCAAAAAGAACATAAAAAGTTATATTAAAAAGACTAATTACCCAATTACTCTATAAGTTACCTATGGAAATTTAAACGTCAAACATTTAACTTTGCAGCTACTGTCATTCCTGTAACACCTTTATTTTAGACACACATAACAGCAAAGTTGAGAAGTTGCCATTTTGAATGGGCTCATGAATTTGTTTCCTCACAGAGGACTACAAAAGCTCAATTACAAAATGGATGTGTGCTGGATTACCTATTGGTGACTAGATCACTGCCACTCTCATTAAGGTCCCCTTCTGCAAAGGAAAAGAAAGTAACTGCATTTTCAGATTCATTACTAGAGGAAGTTGTAAGTAAACACTTAGGCACAGAAGCAGCTTCCAAGTGAGTAGTTTCTTGAAAACTTTTCATTTTATTTCTTAAGATTTCCACTTACGTCTGAGATAACAAATTTCCATGCTTCAGGCTGAAATAATCACTAACACCTTCCCCACCCTGCACACTCCCTAAGCCCTACCAAAGGTTCTATGCTAAAACTCTCTCATCCTTAGAATTGAGTGGCTTCTGTTTTCCTAATCATACACAGATTGACTGATATAGTGTATGTTAAAGCATACAACCATAAAAGCAGAGTATTATTATATCTGGTCCCACCAATAGGAAATTATAATTCAAGTTGCTTTCTGGTAATCAGTCTCTTGCTAGATAAATTAAGACATCGAAAATAAAGCTTTCTCTCTACAAATTAATAAAATAAAACTTTTCCTTTTCAACTCTCTATCTACCTTCATTTCCCCAATTAATCATTCAGTCATCATGTATCAACTGAGCAAGGAATTATGCTAGTTACCAAGAGATTACAATATATGAGAAAAACAAAACTGTAATATTCACAATATAACTGTCACAAATCAAAAAACACATGGGATAGTAGGTGAGAGAAAGGATGGTTTAAACTTGACTTAGGAGAGAAAAACATAAAAACAGTAAAAGGGTTTAAAGAAAAGGAGAATTACATTTACATAGAACTTGGGGGCCAGCATTGTGGCACAGTGGGTCAAGCTTTGCAGCTTGCAATGCTGGCATCACATATGGGCACCAATTTAGTCCCAGCTGCTCCCTTTCAATCCAGCTCTCTGTTAATGATCCTGAGAAAGTAGCAGAAGATGGCCCAAGTACCCAGCCCCTGTCACCCACTTGGGAGACTGGGATGGAGTTCCAGGCCTTTGGCTTCAGCCTGACTCAAACCCAGGTTACAGTCATTTGGGAAGTGAACCAAGAATGGAAGATAATCACTCTCTCCTCTCCCCCACTTCTATTTCTGTGTGTGTGTGTGTGTGTTTGTGTGTGTGTGTGTGTGTGTGTGTAACCCAGCCTTTCAAATAAACAAAATAAATCTTAAAAAAAAAAGAAAACTACATAAAGTTAACATTAAAATGTTAAGAGGGGTGGGTGCAGTGGTACAGTGGGTTAAACTACCATTTACGATGCCAGCATCCATGCTGGAATGCCAGCGGGAGTCCTGGGTGCACTATTTCCAATCCAGCTTTCTGCTATTATAACCTGGAAGGCAGCAGGTGATGGCCTAAGTGCTTGGATTCCTGCCATCCACATGTGAGACCCAAATGGAATTCCAGGTTCCTGGCTTCAGCTTTGCCCAGGCTTGACTGTTACAGGACTTTGAGGAGTAAACTAGCAGATGGGAGATCTCTCTGTGACTCGGTTGCTTTGCCTTTTAAGTAGATGAAAATAAATCAACATTAAAAAGGTAGGAAGAGAGGCCGGCGCTGTGGCGTAGCAGGTAAGACCACTATCTGCAGTGCTGGCATCCCATATGGGCACCAGTTCAAGTCCTGGCTGCTCCACTTCTGATCCAGCTCTCTGCTATGGCCTGGGAAAGCAGTAGAGGATGGCCCAAGTCCTTGGGCCCCTGCACCCATGTGGAAGATCCAGAAGAAGCTCCTGGCTCCAGGCTTCCAATCAGCACAGCTCTGGCCATTGCAGCCAATTGGGGAGTAAACCAGTGGATGGAAGACCTCTCTCTGCCTCTCCTTCTCACTATGTGTAACTCTGACTTTCAAATAAATAAATAAATCTTTTAACAAAAAATGGTAGGAAGATTTCTCCAAATACAGATGATGATAGAAAACTGGAAAAAAGAGTACACTCAAAGAAAACAAAGCATGCAACTATGGGTCAAATGGAGAAAGAAGGCATGTACTACAGAATGGTTTATCCTTAGAATTTAAGTAATACAAGGCCAGAAAAGTTACACATTCTGACTTTACTACTATTATCCACACAGAGAATCATAAATGATAAATGTTATGCCTAGATAACAAATTGAGGCTGCTAACATCCATCCCAATTACAGCCTAAGAGCATGCAGAAGCAAGCAGAGGAAAAAAACCTGAACTTCCTAAAATACTGTTTTTATGCTTTATTTAATCCTAAAATTCTCCTGCTCAAAAACCTTCAATGACTTCTGAACACATGTCTTCATCAAGTTCTTCAACACCACAGTTCCCATCCCATGATCTTATTAAATTATATTTTCTACCACTGCCCAAAATGTACAACTCTCCAGATAAGCCACTCTCTTTATTGGCCCTAAGCAAGGCCAAAAAATGCATGTGTAGTGACACCATGAATTAGTCTGCCCAGAGTACCGTAACAAAATATCAATAGATTGGGTGGCTTAACAGCAGAAATTTTCTCACCACTTTAGAAACTAAAAGGTCCATATCAAAGTACCGGCCAATTTGGTTCCTTATGAGGGCTCTCTTCCCGTCTTGTAGATGGTGGCCTTTTCTCCATGTTCTCACCTGGATTTTCTTTACATGGAGAGATGTCTCTTCCTCATCTCATAAGGCCACCAACCTAATTGGATTAGGGTCCCAACATATTTCTTCATTTAATCTTAATTGCCTCCATAAAAGTCCTATCCCCAAATATAATCTCAAAAGGAATCAGGGCTCCAACATACGAGCTTGGTGGGGAACACAAATACGGAGCCCATAGAATACCCTGACGTTTCTGAGGCTAGCCCTAAAGAGATTTTGCAGTTTCTGCTTTCAGCCTCTTAAAACATTTCCACTATAAAAAAAGCCCAACCGAGCCACAGAGCATGACAAGCCATGTATACCCTAGCCAATAGCCAGAATCAAAAGCCACACTGACAAAACAGTTCCAGTCAAGCTGTCACACGACTGCAAAAATGACCCCAGGTGAGAAAACCCAGAATTGTCAGCTGAGCTCAAAGGTGTAAAATGATGACAAAATAAATTATTATGTCTTTAAGTCATTAATTCTGGAAACAGTTTGTTACAAATAATAAATGCTAATAAGGCATATGTACCTTCTTGTTCTGCTTTTTGACCTAGACCTCTGAACTCTATAGGATTTTCCACGACCCCTGGAACGACTTCGACTTCGTTTTCTTCTAGAGCCGTAAGAAGAGCTACTACTTGAGCGATGTCTGCGTCTGAAATAAAATATAATCAAATACCATTGCTATAAAATTTGATGTTATGGATATTAAGGAGAAATCTTCCACACTCTAAAGAATCATCTCATTTTTACTATGCCTTACTCTTTCTTTAAAACAAACAGAGAGAAATTAAAAGTTCTGGCTCTTAAACAGTCAGACGCCTGGTTCATAATTTAGTGAGACTGGATGAGTTACTAATTAAGGCAGTATAGGTCTTAAGCAATAAATAATCTTTCCAAATGTCATTAAATTATAAGGCATGAGAACACCCATTTATATCTACTTTCCTACAAAGAAGAGACAAAGGATGAACGCACTAGACTCTGGACTAAAGTTGGTGGGATAAAAAACCTGGGCTGGGCCTTATTCTAATAAATATATAACTATTAAAAGAAAAAAAATTATGCAGGAAATTAAAAATAGAAAAACACATGAACTCTAAAGAATGTTACCCTCCTACTGTAAGAACTAAAACTATACAAATTACCTTCTATCATAAGAATGTGAACGAGGCTGACGATCTCTGGACCAAGATCTGGACTTCGATCTTGATTTCCTTCCGCCTTTCTTTCGACTATACGTTCTGCTGTCTGAAGAACTGCTCGAAGACGACCGTCTACGGTGTTTCTTTTTTCTCTTGCTTCTGCTTTCTTCTTCAGTATCTGAGGACCGGCGTCCCATTTCTATCAGCTTAAATTCAAAGGAAATTATTTGTAACACAGTGGTCCAATGGAGGAAATTCAATTACCGATTGTCAGGTACCACCACATGGCCTGAATTCTGTTAAAAGTCTACATTTCAAAGACTACCACATGGCCTGAATTCTGCTGAAGGTATGCTTGGCCAGATTGCAAAGGTGAATGGTCAAGTTATGTCAATGGAAAAGGTCATTTGACATGATGCTGAGGTGGCTAAGGAAATGCTGTGGGCTCTAGTAAACAGCAAGTGGTACATTCACCCCAGTTAATGAGTCCCCCTCAAGACTTTCCCACATTGTGATTGTTCTCTTAATCCAAGCTTCCAAGAAAAGTCCTTCCTATAAACATTGAAACTCCCCAGTGTTCCCTGTTTTACTATGTTTAAACTCCTTCATCATGAAATCCTGTTACCACGAAACTGCACATTTTTTATGATTAATCTATCATGTCACCATTGATAATAAATACTTGGAGTATCCAGATAACTGGGACCCAGCTTCTGCCTCCATCTTGGCAGTGGACAGAGTGTCCCCTGGTTTCTCCACATTAAAATCTTTAATCAGATTCTGTTTCCTTAATCTATGTGACACCATTTCTCTTTCAGGTTAACCTGACACCCTGCTGTGCTAGATGCAACAACCAATTTTAGTAAAACTTTGTAAATGTTTAGGAGGCACAATTATCGCAAAATTTTTTTGTTGAGATTTAAAAAGATTTATTAGAGTCAAAGACCTCCAGCCAGAGTGGCATGGAGGGGGGCTTCCAAGAGAGGAAAAAAACTACAGTAAAATCTAAATGTACCTGGTTTCTTTTTTTTTTTTTAAGATTTATTTATTTATTTATTTGAAAGTCAGAGTTACACAGAGAGAGGAGAGGCAGAGAGAGAGAGAGAGGTCTTCCATCCAGTGGTTCACTCCCCAATTGGCCCCAATGGCTGGAGCTGCGCTGATCCGAAGCCCAGAGCCAGGAGCTTCTTCTGGGTCTCCCACGTGGCTGCAGGGGTCCGAGGACTTGGGCCATCTTCTATTGCTATCCCAGGCCATAACAGAGAGCTGGATTGGAAGTGGAGCAGCCAGGTCTCGAACCAGCACCCACATGGGATGCTGGCACTTCAGAGCAGGGCGTTAACCTGCTAGGCCACAGTGCAGGGCCCCCTGGTTTCTTGATAAGACAAAAGAAATAGCTCTAGGGACCAGTGTTGTGGCATTGCAGGTAAAAATCACCACCTGCAATGACAGCATCCCATTTGGGTACCAGTTTGTGTCCCCGTTGCTTCATTTCCCATCCAGCTCCCTGCTAATGGCCTGTGAAAGGCAGCAGAAAATGGCCCAAGTGCTTAGACCCCTGCTATCTACACTGGAGACCTGGAAGAAGCCCCTGGCTCCTGGCTTTGGCCTGACCCAGCCCTGGCCACTGCTGCCATCTGGGGAGTGAAGCAGCAGATGGAAGATCTCTCTCTCTCTCCCTCTCTCTGCAACTCTAACCTTCAAATAAATAAATAAATCTTTATATAAAAGAGAAAGAAACAGCTCTAACACAATCTTCTAGGACATTAATAAATTCTTTTTTCAAGTTTTGAAAAATTTAAAATTTGCCTCATGTTTTTTCAAATATTTCTCAAAACAATTTTTTTTGGTAAAGATTTTTATTTAGTTGTTTGAAAGGCAGAGTTATAAAGAGAGAGAAAGGGAGAGACAGAGAGATCTTCCATCTGCTGGTTCACTCCCTAAATCTGGTTCACTCCCCAAATTCCCACAATGTTAAAGCTGAGCCAGGCCAAAGCCAGGAGCCAAGAACTCAATCCAGGTCTCTCTTACAGGTGACAGGGACTCAATTGCTTGAGCCATTACCTGTTGCCTCCCAGGGTGTACAATAACAGGGAGCTGGATTCAGAGGTGAAATAAGGCCTTAACCCAGGTCCTTCTATATGAGTTATGGGACAACTTCTACTAGCAAACTAACTGCTAGGTCATATACATTTAAAACACATACAGATGAATAGATACGGATATAGATGAATAGATATGGATACAGATATAAATGGGGAGAGACAGAGAGAGACTCATATATAGCCATTTTATATGAGGGAATGTTAAAAAATAAACTGGAGGGGTGGGGCCTGGCACTGTGGCACACCTGGTTAAACCACCACCTACAATGCCAGCAACCCACACGGGCGCCAGATCTAGTTCAGATGTTCCACTTTCGATCCAGCTCTCTGCTAATGCACCTGGGAAAGCAGTGGAAGATGGCCCAAGTGCTTGGGCCCCTGCACCCTGCTTTGGGAGACCTGAAAGAAGGTCCTGGCTCCTGGCTTCAGCTTGGCCCCGCCTCAGCTGTTGTGGCCATTTGGGAAGTGAACCAGTGGGTGGAAGATCTCTCTCTCCTTCCCTCCCTCTCTCTCTCTCTCTGTAATTTGGCCTTTCAAATAAATAAAATAAATAAACAAATAAAAAAAATAAAAAGCTATTGCCTGGGACGCCAGCGTCCGATATGGATGCCAGTTTGAGTCCAGGCTACTCCACTTCCAGTCCAGCTGTATGCTAATAAGCCTGGGAAAAGCAGAAGACGGCCCAAGTGCTTAGGTCCCTACACCTACACGGGAGACCTGGAAGAAGCTCCTGGCTCCTAGCTTCAGTCTGGCCCAGCCCTGGACATTGCAGCCATCTGCGGAGATCTTCCAGTGGATGAATGGATGGAAGATCTTTCTCTCTCTCTCTCTCTCTCTCTCTCTCTCTAACTGTGCCTTTCAAATATATAAATTTTAGAAAAAAAAAAACACTTCAAACAAATTTCTGTTACCATGTTATTATTTAAAAAATTATTTAAAAAATATTAAAGTAAGATTATAAAAAAAGGAGCAGGTCCAGCTCTCTGCTATGGCCTGGGAAAGCAGTAGAAGATGGCCCAAATCCTTGGGCCCCTGCACCCACGTGGAAGACCCAGAAGAAACTCCTGGCTCCTGGCTTCAGATCGGCACAGCTCCGGCCGTTGTAGCCAGCTGGGGAGTGAACCAGCAGATGGAAGACCTCTCTCTCTCTCTGCCTCTCCTCTCTCTGTGTAACTCTGACTTTAAAATAAATATATAAATCGTTAAAAAAAAAAAAAAAAAGAGGAGCAGATAAAGAATAGCGGCAGGTGTTGGGGCACAGCTGGCTAAGCCTCTGTGAGGACACCGACATTCCCTATCTGAGTGTCTAGTCTGAATCCTGGCTGCTCTAGTTCCCAAACAGCTTCCTGCAAATGTGAACCTTAACAGGCAGCAGGTGATGACTGACCAGGGAGATCTAGATGGAATTCCTGGTTCCTGGTTTCAGCCTGGCCCTTCCCTGAACGTTGCAGATATTTGTAGAAGGAACCAGTAGATGGAAGATCTCTCTCTCTCTCTCTCTCTCTCTGTCCCTCCATCTTTCAAACAAATAAAAATTAAATACACTTTTTAAAAAAAGATTAAAGGAATAAAGAGTATAAATTCACAAAGAATAAGAAAAAATAACAGGAACAGTAGACAAGATATGTCAACAAATTTTTAGCAAATGAAAAACAGATGAAGGATTTAGAGCTAAGAAAGTTGAATATCAAACAACTGAAGAAAATTCTAACAAGAGAAAAGCCAATTCACATAACAAACTTAAGGAATTTGAGATTCCAAATACCATCAGGCACAGTGAGGCATGAAAGTAAAAACAAGAGAATTGATTCAATTTCTATAAAAAGAAGTAGTCTCCTGGGTTCCCTCCCTCATCATCCTACCTAGCCAGGTAAATACTCTTCCCAATCCCAGCAGGAGAGGAGATTTATAGTGGGGAGGGGTGGTAAAAATAAGTCAGTGAAGTACCAGGTTTAAGAGCACAGTTAAGGAGGGGTCAGGGGGTGGGGTAAAGCTACACCAGTGACAAACACATCCCATGTAAGAACCAAGTCATGTCCTGGATGCTCCACTTCCACTCCAACTCCCTGCTAACATGCCTGGGAAAGCAGCAAAAGATGGCTCAAGTGTCTAGGCCCCTGCCACCCATATTTAAAACTCAAATGAAGCTCCTGGTTCCTAGATTAAGTCTCGCCCAGCACTGGCTGCTACAGCCATCTGGAGAGTGAACCTACAGACAGAAGATTCTCTCTCTCTCTCTCTGTATGTGTGTGTGTCTCGCCTTCTTGTAACTCTGACTTTCAAAATACATAAATCTTCAAAAAAGGCATGAGGTGGGGAGAGAGGTGTCAACCTAAAAGCTGAAGTAACTAAACGAGTCTACATTCTAATGGTAAAAACCATAGCTCTCTGTGTACTTGGACCTAAGAACAATGACGCCAACTGTATATCCTAGGAAGAAAATAAGGATCTTCCCAGCAAAAACTAAAAAGTCCCCAAAGATAAGACCAGGCCCCTACCCAATCACCACAAAATGGAAGCCCTAACCTTAAACATATTTAACTTTTTTCTGTAAATTTTTTTCTGCTAACTTTTTAGTGAATATACAACAAAAGATAACCATAAGATGAAAGCAATAATCATAAAACAAAACAAAAAGAAACAACTTACAGTAAGTAAACTAGGAGTATGCAGAAGAAAACTTCCAAAAGAAAAATCACAGTTAGAACCCTCAGAAATGTATGAGAAGACAATTCAGAAAACAAGAATAGGAGAAACATTCAGAGAACAAGGAGACCCTGAAATTTAAACAAAGAGAGTCCGGCACTGTGGTATAGAAAGTTAAGCCTCTGCCTGCAGTCTTGGCATCCCACTTGGGCAGCAGTTCAAGTCTCAGCTGCTCCACTTCTGATCCAGCTCCTTGACAATGCACCTGGGAAAGCAGTGGAAAGTGGCCTAAGTGCTTGGGCCCCTGCACCCATGTGGGAGACCTGGAAGAAGCTCCTGGGTCCTGGCTTCAGCCTGGCTCAGCCCTGGCCATTGGAGCTATTTGAGGAATGAACCAGCAGATGGAAGATCTCACCATCTTTCTCTCTCTCTCTCTCCTCTCTGTATCTTTTTCAAATAAATAAATAAATCTTTAAAAAAGCAGAAACCTTATTTTTTAAAAAAATTAACAAATGATAAATAGTATTTTTTAACATTTATTTACTCATTTGAAAGGCAGAGTGACACAAACAGGAAGGGAGATCTTCCATCGGCTGATTCACTTTCCAAATGGCCCCAACAACCAGAGTTGGGTAAGGCTGAAACAAGGAGCCAGGAACTCAACTTGTGTCTCCCACAAAAGGTGCCAAGCACTTGGCCATCATCTGTTGCTTTCTCGGGCCCATTACAAGGAGCTGGACTGGAAGCAAAAGAGCCAGGACTCTTAGATGGTCTAATATGGGATGCAGGCACTGTAAGCAGTGGCTTAACCCACTGTGCCACAATGCTAGCCCTGATAAACAATGTTTTAAGAACACAATAGGGTTAGAAAAAGTTAAATAACTTAAAAGAATGTAGAGAGTAAAAGAGACAACAATAAAAGAAAGATAGAAGGTAAAAGAGGAGCAATCCTGAAGGTCCAATATCCAATTGATATACAATCTGCAGGGTCTTAGTCCACCTGTACAAGGATGGACTGGGTCCGAGGAAAAGTAAGTGTGCCGCTCACCCGTTCCCCAGCCTCCTGATCCCGGAGACAATCAGCCGCAGCAGGGAGTCAAGTCTAGCAAGGACTCGTTTATTTCGTGTGTAACAGAGCCTTTTACAGCACAAAACTGCAGAGTCATTGGGGCAGGGCATAAAGACCAACCAATCACTTAAAGGGTCATTTTACGGGGCAATTTTCATAAGACTGGCCATATGTCTATACACTTGATATCAGTTGTTGCCACTTCTCCTGATGTTGTGTAGCCAATTTGCTTTAGTGGTAAACAACTTTGGATTCCGCCCACCTTACTTCTTCTGGGCACCATCTTTGAATTGCTTCGTGTAACTAATTTCCCCACACAATCCATAAAAAATGAAAAATTATCCATATCCATATATATATATATATCAAAACAATTTTCAAAACTGGAGGCCATGAGTTGCCCTAAGTCTTTAGGACAACAAACTTTTAAAAAGAAGTACACTGGCGCCGGTGCTGTGGCACAGTGGGTTAAAGCCTTGGCCTGAAGCGCCGGCATCCCATACAGGCACCAGTTCAAGACCCAGCTGCTCCTCCTCCGATCCAGCTCTCTACTATAGCCTGGGAAAGCAGTAGAAGATGTCCCAAGTCCTTGGGCCCCTGCACCCACATGGGAGACCCAGAGGAGGCTCCTGGCTCCTGGCTTTGGATCGGCGCATCTCCAGCCATTACAGCCATCTGGGAAGTGAACCAATAGATGGAAGACCTCTCTCTCTCTCTCTGCCTCTCTGCTTCTCTTCTCACTGTAACTCTGACTTTCAAATAATTAAAATAAAATTTTAAAAAACTATTAAAAAGAAGTACACCAAACACATCTCATTTAAAAAGTCAAATACCGGGGCCGGTGCTGTGGCGCAGTAGGTTAATCCTCTACCTACGGCACCAGCATCCCATATGGGCGCTGGTTCTAGTCCCAGGTGCTCCTCTTCCCATCCAGCTCTGTGCTATTGCCTGTGAAAGCAGTAGAAGATGGCCTAAGTCTTTGGGCCCCTGCACCTGCATGGGACACCCGGAAGAAGCTCCTGGCTCCTGGCTTCAGATTGGCGCAGCTCTGGCCATTGCTGCCAATTGGGGAGTGAACCAGCAGATGGAAGACCTTTCTCTCCATCTCTCGCTCTCACTGTCTGTGGATCTATCTCTCAAATAAATAAAATCTTTAATAAAATAAAATAAAATAAAAAGTCAAATGCCAGAAACAAAAAAGATCATACAAAGAAACGTCTAAAGAGGAAAAAACAGTAAAGAAAACGCACACAGACATATGGCTTTTCAACAGCAACACACAAAACAACTGAGACCCATCTTCAAGTTCTGACAGAAAATTATTTTCAACCTACAATCTATAGCCACCCAAATCATTGACTGGTATGATTTGAAACATCAAAGTCTCGAATAACACCTCACATTCACCCTTTTTCGGGAAGCTACTGGAAAGTATACTCCATCAAAAGGAAAGGATATGGGCTGTTGCTATGGCAGGTAAAGCTACCACCTGCAGTGCCGGCATCCCATATGGGTGTCTGTTCATGTCCCGACTGCTCCACTTCTGATCCAGCTCTCTGCTATGGCCTGGGAAAGCAGCAGCGGATGGCCCAAATCCTTGGGCCCCTGCACCTGCATGGGAAGACACAGAGGAAGCTCCCGGCTCCTGGCTTCGGATCGGCACGGTTCTGGCCATTGTGGCCATTTGGGGAGTGAACCAGCAGATGGAAGACCTCTTTCTCTCTGCCTCTCCTTCTCTCTCTGTGTAACTCTAACTTTCCAATAAGTAAATAAATCTTTTTAAAAAATATCAAAAGGAGAGGATAATCAAAGAAAGAGGTACCTTTCTCTGAAGGGAGGAGAGAACTTCCACTTTGATTATGGCCTTGTCTAAATAAGGTCGGAGTTTGTGAACTCAAGAGGCTTCCATAGACTTGGCAATTCATGACAACAGCTTCTGGTGATTCCTGACATCATACATAAGAGTGTCAACTGGTAAATCAACATCAGGAGTCACTGTGCACTTGCTCCCCATGTAGGACCTCTGTCCTTAATGTGTTGTACTATGTGAATTAATGGTAAAACTAGTCTTCAAACAGTACTTTATACTTTGTGTTGAAATCTTTACTTAGTATAGAATTGATCTTCTATATAAAAGATAATTAAAAATGAATCTTAATGAAGAAAGAGATGGGAGAGGGAGTAGGAGATGGGATCGTTATGGGTGGGAAGGTGGTTATGGGGGGAAGAACTGTTATAATCCAAAAGTTGTGCTTTGGAAATTTATATTTATTAAATAAAAGTTAAAAAAAAAAAAAGGAGAGGATAAGCCAACAAAGAAACTAGATCCAGGATGGAGCCAAGATGGCGGAATAGTGAGGGCGCGCACCGATAGTCTGGGAAAATTTAGTTTAATAAAAGTGGAGTTACAGTAGCCTCAGAAAAAGGATCAGGAAAAAATTGCAGAGGAAACTCTTCCGGATCTAGTGGCTGTGACTCGGAGGACCTACTGGGAGAACAAGGTCACCCACCATGCGGAAGCCGAGCCGTGGGAGCGGCAGGGTCTGCGCACCAGTGCAGGAAGGGGAGTGGATGTCACATAGACACCAGCAGGGAGAGCAGGGACGCCCAGGGCTCCGAGTCCACACATCGGCGCTGGAAGGGGAGGTGAGCTCAGTAACCCAAGACATTGGCGGGGAAACAGCGGTCAGA